GACGTTCTAATTAGCGTCATTATCTACTTCATTTCGTCTTGAGCTTGATACGACCATTACGCTTATAGTTGTACAAAAAAAAACATTTTCTTAACAAATATCCTGTCATTTCACGCCAATGTAAGTTTACCTGGAAAGTAGCGATTCCTTCAAAGCGCATCCAGCAAACAGTACTAATAATGAACGAAAGATAAAATTAAAGAGATAAAATAATACTAGACTACTTATTAACGTGTATAATAATACTTAAGAAAATTGTTTCATATTAATTGCAACACTAAACGAATGACGAATGCAATACTAGTACGTCATGACGTTTTACCCTTCAAGTTCTTGTATGCATTCTTACGTTTATATGATTGAGTAAAAAGCAAAATTGAAAGTGTTATATTGTCGTCAATCAATCATTCAATCAATAATTCAATAAATCATTCAAATCAAAATACGTATTCCTTTACAGTTAATAAAACTTATATTGCATGAAACAGTCATTTTTATCTTTTTACATTCCCTGTATTCTCAAATTTAAAAAAGGAATGTAGTCTATGTGCAAGACTGTGGGTTTTAGTTGGGATAATGATATCTTAGAACTATAATAATAAACGTAATTGATGACGAAATTTACACAATCTACCACACGTGGGGGACGTCATCCGGGTCTTCGAGGCTGTATATTGCTCTTATAAAATAAGCATTTATAACCGAATTATCATTATAGTGCACTCTGCCTTGGAAATAACTTTAATATCATATTTAGCCCAAGGTATGCACATATTCGTCCCTACCTTTCTGTTCAATAAATATCATCTGACATGCGTCAGGCATATATCGAATTGGTGCCAACTACGTAAGATAATCAAATCAGTGACATTCAGGTTGTACGGTTTTGTTTCTGCAATCGTACACGCTGAGGCAATTTTTGACTGGCTTGATATGTGGGTTGTTTGGGGGAGGGGGTATTGTAGATTTTTTGAAAATTCTTTTTTGTTGTTATCGTGTGTGTGTGTACATGTGCGTGCGTGCGCGCGTGTCTGTGTAATGTTAGCTGTTCTAATACAATCGTGAAATTCGTGCGCTACGTATGATTTTTGTTTTACTTATGCCTCATCAGGTCAGATTTACGAGAGTTGCAAACGAGATTACGGCAGGATGAATACATCCAGGGAACGCTGGTGAGGGGCTATACTGCCGACCCACCACCAACACCAATACCACACAAAATGTATGATAAACAACCAAAACGCTTCCTAGACTACATTTACTTTACAGTTAGATGGATAAAATTATACCACAGAAACATTTAAACGCAGGACCTTTCAAGAAATCCGTCACATAGAACAGTTGCTTATTTATTTAGGTAATAATCCCGAATCGAAATGACATATTCTGGATCCGCCACTGTCATCTTTGAAAAAGTGCGAACGTGTGATTCAGATAGGATGAAGTATATAGTAAACTAAATAAGGCATGACGCAAAAAATGCAACAAGTAAAATTGATCATATATCATATTAATCTCCTACATGACAAGAAATAGTTATGTGTCCTTGCTTTAAGTTCTGTCCACTTGGTATTTTTCTGGTTTTCGCCCGTTTCATGTCGCTTTTTGCGAGAGAAGATACTGCAATATCTTCAGATTTAAAAAAAAAAATGTGTGCATTATAATTTTGTAGTTGTTTGAATTAAATTAGTAGCACTACTCTCTGATTAAGGTATCTGTAAACCTTCAGAACTGTTGTGCCAGGTTTACTCACTTTTAGAGTGCTACTTGCCAAGTTATATTCGTCCCTTTAATTTAAGTTATCGTTTTAAGTACATACTACTTGTACCGCGAGCCTTTCCAAAATGTCTGTGTGCCACCGTTTGTAAGCGTGCCATAGGTTGCTGACACCCGCTTTAAATCATCAATGCATATCGCTGAAACTAGCGGTTCTGAATGATATTTGAAGTTTGATTATTATTAATAACTTCATCATGCTGCCTTGGCTATAAAGAAATTAAACCGTGCATCATTGGGAACACTCACATCTAACAGTCGTACATCATTCGGAAAACCCATCTCTAATAGTCCTGCATCATTAGGAACACCCATCTCTAAAGATAAAAGGTCATACTGAAAAACTGCACTCAAAAACGAAGAAGAACGGTTGTAAAACTCAAGGTTTTAACATCGTAAATGAAAAACTAGACATCTCTTGTATAGAAGATGCTTTTTATTTGAATTGCCTTTCCGGAAACAAACTGGGTTTCTTTATACTTGCGTTCCTTTTGTCCGATTCTATGGTGTAAAGAGCAACATGAATCTGAATATGTTCTTAGATGCAAAACATCACGTGATCTAAATGAGTTCTATAAAAAGGCTAAAGTGACATATGGAAATTAATTCCATTTGGTCAGATGACTCTAAAAGTAATTTCCAATTGATAAGGCTAATACCGAGACATTACATTTTCCTCGTATCTACAAGACACATCTTGCAATGCTTTGGCACAAACTGATGCAAAAACAATCAAAACAAGAGGAATGTCAATGTCACTGGGGAGAGGGGTCCGAGTTGTCCAAGGCGCTCGCCTTTATAGATCACCGACATCTCACCTCAGGCTGTGTAGGTTCGAGTCTCAGGCTTGGCCAGTTCTTCCTCCACCAGATTTACTGGCCGTCGTGCATGGCATATCCAGCTGGAAAAATAGCCCTAAACCACTATAACAAACAATTAAATAAGTTCACCACCCATTTAACAATTTCGTTAACTTTTTTATGTTGGTATTTGTGCCGCATTTAACTTCCAGTAATGACTTTTCTTGACCATGTTTCGACCGAAGGAAATACAGCATGAAGAAAAACGTAGATTTAATATGCCATAAATTTATTCTCATTCTTATGATACTGTTATTTATATGTTATTCGCTTTAAGTTTGTGATCTGGATTTTGAGGAGGTTGTAAATCTGTATTTAGTTACAACTGGTTTAAAGTCGTCCAAATATATAACTTTTCAGCAAAATGTTTTCTTCTGCTAGTAGATTTATCCCCTACTTAACATGATAAAAAAAAACCATAGAATAATTCATATCGTTTAATACTGACATAACTAAATATACGGATTAGTTCACTCGGTTACGATAACTTGTCGCATCGGATGGTTGATACATTCAGAAATCTTAGATTATTTACTACCTGATTAAAGATATGGACGCAATCGTTAAGAATGTAAACTTGTAAATGCCAATATACAGATTTATAGCGAGCAATTTTTGTGCTTTGAACAATGTAAATGGCTTAGGCATGAAGGCCAAATTCTTTATTTTAAAAAGAAAACTTTTCTTTAATTCAGACGACCAAAAAACAATAAGATTGGACTTAGAGTCTTGTTTGTAGTCGAAACTTACTGTCCATGTTTTAAGTAATTTCATCCTGATTGATTTTTAGTAAATATTCTCATTGAAATACTTCGTAAATTCTTGTAGAAATGGGCGGATGAAAACAAACTAAATTTTCATCGAACTGTCTTCCTTTTAGAGATTCTCAAATTTTGTTAAAGAAAGAGCGGGGTAGCCAATGAATAAACTATTTGTCTACAATAATTGCTTGACTGCAATGGAATGTCTATAAACAGAAAGCGTTTTACTGATTTATACTGGTACATAATTTCTTCTCATATATATGTATATTATTAAATGACAAAGGTGTTAAATTACAAACTTGAAAATTGAACAAGCTTAAAAACGTTCAATCATTTGCACCTTCCCCTTGTGTGTATGTGCTTGCGTTCGCTTGTGTGTGTGCTTGTGTGAGTATGTCCGTTGATGTGTGTTGCTTTATTTGTCCATATTTGTTTGCCCTTTCTCCTCAATATTATTTTAATCCTGCTGTCTAATGTCAGTGCCAAATCATTTCAGTATATGAAAATGTTTAGTTGAGAAGTGGAAAGAGATATCAGAAAATGTGATCATTAAACGAATGAATATCACCTATACACTGATAAAGTTAGTTGGATGTACAGATGTGACGACTGCATGGAATACAGTTATTGCCATTGCTTGTAAACAAAATAAATATCTACCAGCAATCGGCATCTTATAAAAAAAAACACAAAGTATATCTCTGTTTATGCTTAAACATGTGTACATTTGGTTCACATTAAAAAGAGTACAAATATTTAACTATATGTAGATCAGTTTTTGTTTATGGTTGATTACAGAAAACTTGAGATCAATTAGCATGTGAGACAGCACATAACTGCTATATTATCATCATTCTATTGCTGGTTGTATCTCGCGTGTTTCTTTGTTTGAATTTGACAGCTAGACATTGTTTCAAATAAAAACTTACACAAATTCACTTCTCTATAATTATGTTATAATTAGTTTAGTTATTCTTTAGTTATTTTTATTTTCCACCTTCATCTGTTCATGAAACACCATGCGGTGTAGTATGTATGTTAAAATTTGTAATTAAATCTTAAATTTAAGAACAATGTAACTCTAATAGCCAGAGAAAACACAAACTATAAGTCAACTATTGAAACTAACTGAACTACTAACTGAAATTAGCATGATTTAAGTAACAATTGTGGAAAAAATGAGTCAGCAGGAATAGGTAAAATATTTACAAGGAAATGGTTTTACTTTAAATTGGAATATTGTGGGTCTAGAGGTGGTTTGCATATGGGTGCCCAAACTTTCGAATGTAATATATAGGATTAGTCACAGCGGGAAGTGTTTGTGTGTGTGTGTGTGTGTTCGTGTGCGAGTGTTTGTTTGTGTGTGTGTGTGTGTGTGACTTTTAAGATAGCATTAAAAACATTTTAGTCATATCGCTACGATGTCTGCAGCATGCTAGTTTGTAGTGATGTTAGGCACTGGAGAATCATGCCTCAGATACGTAGCATAGTGTCCCAGTCATATTATCCTAACACCAGGCCGACCAGTCCTAACACTAACCTCTTTAAGGCTGGGCGCCAATGAGGCAGCTTTCAGTACCATTTTTATAAGTCTTTGGTATGACTCAGCTGGGATTCGAACCCATGTCTCCCACATCTGAGGTGGACATTATAACCACTAGGCCAGTTTCATTTTTATAAGTCTCTTGTATGGCTCAGTATGGGTTTGAACCTGCAAACTTCCGCATCTGAGGAAAACGCTCTAACAACTTAGGCCAAGGGAGCGGTCGACACAGCGAGAAGATAGCGCTGCAATCAGAGATACATAACTCAGTAGTCAGGAATTAAATGAAATAACTCCAACTAGTGAAAGAAAACAGTTTTGAGAGTTATGTCCTTTACGCTACCCGTATTAAAATCCCACTAAACTTAATCTCCTTGTATGTATCTCCATCAGTCACCAACTTTGAAATTCATACATCGCCACTCTATTAGTAGATTTCACTAAACATTATTTCAGGAGAGGAAAGGGACATAAACGGCAACGAATAAATTTAAACAAGTGATTTAATGCAAGTGTGAGTACAAACTTGTTTCACTCAGTCTCACATTATATGTAAAGATTTGTCGATATAATCAATAAAATAAGAATGTCTAAACTTCATTACCGTCATGAACGTGTATATAAATATAAATGACCGTACTCGAAAATGATTCGTTGATGATGCATGTCAGGGTCACGGTGTTTGGGTTGTGATATAAAAAATTAAAACAATAGAGGAGTGCCATCCGCATTCCTAGTCTATCATACAACTGTTATACTTTGACCGAGGTCAGAAATGAAGAACATGTCAAACTTGCATGGTATCGTACGGGATTTTAGTGCAATTGTGTGCCAAAGTGCGGGATAAAATCGGGGCAAAGTGTCGCATCACAGTTTCTCACCTCCCTAACCTTTTGCCAGAGATACAACAATCTAAATATATTTTTATTGTACAAAATAAAGAAAATGGACCTTTCTAGTATCAGTATGACAATTAATTTTCTTCATATATTTCTTATGAATTTTATGATTTCACAACAATAGAATTTGTCTGAGACCATAACAGAAAGGAATTAAGTATCGTATTTTATAAAACTGATAGATTAAACATCAATATTTATATCTGTAATAATAAATACACATATCTGTAGTAAGAAACACGCATATCTGTAATAAAACACATATCTGTCGTTAAAAACTGTAATAAAATATACATATCGTAAAAATAAACATACATATCTGTAATTAAAAAAAAATCTGCAATAAGCAAACATACATACCTGTTATAAATATGCATATCTGTAAGAATAAAAACACACATATCTTATAAAAAGATATATATCTGTAACAAAATATATGTAATAAGAAAAACACACAATATGTGTGTGTGTGTGTGTGTCTGTCATAAAAAGATAATATTTGAAATAATAAATATACCTATTTGTAATAAGATATATTTGTCTGTAATAATACAAACTACATATATGCAATAAAAACCCATACACATCAGTAATAACAAAAATCTATAATAAACAGAGATATATATATATCTGTAAAAAATATACATATCAGTAATAAAAAATAAACTTATGTAATAAACAAACAACCAGAAGAAAAAATGTAGATATGCAACTTAAAATATCTAATAGAATACATAAGCATAAGACATACGACTATAAAATATTTTAGATACTTTTATCATCACCATCATCATCAGCATTATCATCATCATCGTCGTCGTCATCATTTGTGTGCGTGCTAACGTGTCTTACTAAATCATAAGCCGTATGGGCTAAGCCCACACATCTTTATTCTCTCTTTTGGGTTAAGAACACCAATGTGGACAGATTGACGGTTTGGATAAGTATAATTGAAAGCTAGATTAAGTGTGCCCAAAGTCTGGTACACTTTGGCCTGACTGACAAAATTGAAATGTTATTGAATGCAGGTGGCTCTGACTAATAATCTACCCTATTATTAGCCGTATATAGTAGATTTGTGAAAAGTATTATTCTCCGTCTTAGGGGTACAGGGAATTAGATAAAACAGTGTATTATGTGGCTTCGGGAAATACAAAGTCATTTTGTCCCCCAGCTTTGGTCATAATAGCCGATTATTCCTAATAATTTATACATTGACCATATTCATATTCATATTTACAAAAATTATAATTCCAAATGTCTCAATATTGTATCAACTATTACTGGACCAGTTTGAAAATTTGTTACAAATATCATAAATCGACTTGCCATCCTTGGGTTTGCGCTCGGCACACAAGCCTAAGGGGTGCTCTGCACTTTGTAGCGTAACTCCGCTCCAATACTTGTCAGTGTGTGCATTAGTAGAGGTAGACTGAAACAAACTACATAAGAAAACGATCACATGTAAGCAAACCTAAAGGTAGATTCATTCCCGAACTAGCCCAATGCAATAGTGATGTAGAGAAGTTTTTGAAGCACGACATATTTAATGTTATTTATTAATTATTTGTCATCCAAATTTGATCTTGTTTGTAAAGAATTGCATATAATTTCTACGTTTAAGTTTTTAATCCATGTTGACGTTAACCTACATTTATGTAGCCACTCTAGTTTTGACATTCGAGATAAATAGCCATTTTTTCAATAAATTATTTCATATAAATTAACATATAGTGTATGTTCCGTTAGTTAATTTATCAAAGAATATAAGGTTATCAAGTAAAATAGAAATATATGGAGCATAATTCATTTTGCCACTGGTGACGTAAGATAAAGCAATGCCTCTTTTATATATTGTGTGAGAATCACAGAAAAAAGCTATTCACTTATGCCTTTCCTCCTACATCAAAATCGCTTTGATAAAGACAGGGAAATAAACATATTCAGTCGTTTTGCTTGACAATCAATAACTTTTTGTTTATTAAAACGGAGTATGAAAAGGGAAGATATTATTTATTTAATATAGGTTTGTATTTGTATGCGTTTGTATTTGGTCGATTTTTCCTTGTATTACTTAAATATAACTTTAGTAATTGTATCTTTAGAAAGTCATTGCCCTGCAAAATACACATATAATTATGGAAAGTATGTTCGATGTAAATGAGCAACTGGTTTCTCCATAAATGAAAGAATCTGTTTAAAACCAGTTGCAGATGTGGAAACATTTGACATATGAAGCATTTATAAAAAGATGCATTATGAATGACAATATATATATATATATATATATATATATATATATATATATATATATATATATATATATATATATATATATATATATATATATATATATATATATATATATATATATATATACATATATATACATATATATACATATATATATATATATATATATATATATATATATATATATATATATATATATATATATATATATATATATATATATATATATATATATATATATATATATATATATATATATATATATATATATATATATATAATAAAGCAAGATGGTACTTCTATCCTAGCAAAAGTGCATCTGCAATTTGAGTATATTTTCCTTATTGTACTGAATGTTATGTTGTAGTCATGTAACATCAAACCCTTCCTCTACAGTCTCTGAGTATTTGATTTTCATTATGCTTATGAAAGTAATGGGATTGTGCAAACCAAATTAGTCTGAATTCAATATTCAGAGAAAAAGCTGGACTAATTAATATACACTTCAAAGTGTTGTAAAGCCTTCTCTAGTGTGATATAATATGTCTTGTCCTTATTTACGATTTTACAAAAACAGCAATCAGGATAATCTACACCACTATTGACTTCTTGAATCAATACTCCACCAACCTCATCATCACTTGCACTTAACTGAAATTTGTAGCTGATTGAACTGTTGCAATGTTTAAGTTTGGTCTTTAATTTATCAAATGCCTTCTCACAGAGACCATACCAATGGAACTTTGTTATTTATTTATTTATTTATTTATTTATTTATTTATTTATTATTATTATTATTATTATTATTATTATTATTATTATTATTATTATTATTATTATTATTATTATTATTATTATTATTATTATTATTATTATTGTTATTATTAGTATTATTAAATGCGCGGGAGACCTGCTAGAATTACCATCTACTGCTGATAATAAGGCACTTTTATTGCAACTTACGGTACTAATGGAATAGAAAATATCTGGTATATAAACATAAAGCTGTTATTTCTTTTTGTGAAACTGTGAGGAAAAGTGCTGTTAGGATTATGAATTATTATAAATTGTAAAGCCAGATCTTGTCTAGGATTTTTCTCCTAGTTTCTCTACTAGACAATTTTTCTGTTAAAATACAGGACCTATGCTGATGAGGTAGAAACAGATACCTTAATGGCAGTTGACATATACAGTATATATTCGCTTATAAGTCGAGTACAAGTGCATATAACAAAGATCATGATATGTCGTATCCTAACGTGCCTGTCAATTAGAGTCTATGTTGCTTGTTCTACTCATTACTCCTAACAAACTGCACATAACCAGATCTGACGACGCATTATGCAACAGCAGATCCGGGTTTGTGCAGTCTACAGTTGGACTCGTCTGATAAATATAGGTTCTTGGGTCAGGTGAGGGAGTTATATATTTGCCTTTGTTTTAAAATCACGTTTTTGGAGTTTCACTCTGTGCTCTCTTCCTAAACAGACTCAGTGCCGTTTTAAGGCATAGGCACTCGAAGCACGTGCCTAGAGCCCGCGCAGCAGGGGTCACCCGACGGGCCAAAAGCAAAATTTCGGTGTCAGTTGTGTTAGCAGTTTAGTACTATATTAATAAAGTTAACAAAATGACACATATGTAGATGGAAATGCAATGCAATACTCTGTATCTGTGCTTGAAAGATTGAGGCGCCTAGTTTGTGCCTAGTTTCCCTTAAAAGGCCTCTAATCAGACTTCCTCATCTACAAAGTAGTAAACTGATTCAAGCTGTTGGAACGTTGCAGCAAATTGTCAACAAACTGGACGGTTGATGTTTCTAGCGATATTTATCCAAATGTAACTTCCAAACGAAATTACAACATTGTCAATGTATGTAAAATAGAATATGGATTTAGTGTCGGATGAAATATCTTGGCTAACTGTAGTATAGCTTCTTTAAACATATACGGTGTTTGTTTGTTTGTTTGTTGTTGGG